TTTGGCATAGCTACTGACCTCGGGTGCGTCTATTCAGGTGACGAAATGCCGCACAGCATTAAGAAATATTGCATTATCAACAGTTATTCGAACTGCAAAACGAATATACCAACAGTTCTTACAGTTATTTGAGCTGCAAAACGAAAAGCCAAGCATTATTTACATTACACGAGAATCTCTTCAGCTAGTATTAACAAGTAGGTTAACTGATCATTTGCGGTACATGCTGGTCTAACTGTTCATTGGGATCTACTTCGAGCTTAATAGGCAGTTTCATGGGGAATAATGGCATGAGATGAAGAACATCAACTACAACGACTAGAGAGATTAGGATGGTAATTTGGAAGGCAGTAGTTATCTTCGCCTAGTCTTTCAAATCATTTTTTCAGATAGCATTTGTAATCAGAGAAGAAAAACTAGCACAAGGCATATCGAGGTTTTGGGTGGGGAGCGAGGAAACCGCTTACCGTTGTTGTCACAGCGCTTGGCCTTCCGCTCAGTTGAAATACCATTGTTGGTCCCGCTTTGGGACCCTTTCTCTGGCCGACAACAAGCAGCACTGCCTGAGTGATTCGAATGGCTCTGGGCCTAAAATTCAAAGGTGGAAGAGCCGTCGAAGTTAATGCTTTGGTAATGCAACGGCTTTATTGCTTTGTCTCGTGAAATGATTTCCAAACTTCTGAAATACATTTTCGGTTAAGAAAGACTGCTTATATAATACTGGAATATTTATTTTCGTGAAGCCACACTCCAAGTTATATCTGAAAAGCCAGCATGCCAACCTTTGAATTGAGGACTTTTCGGCCATCTGCAAAAACAACACTTGATAATAAGGATCACTTCGTCGATAAGCATTTTCTCCACTAATGATCGATGCCCGGTAAGGATGGCATCACCAAACCGCCAAACCCTTTTGATTAGGCATAACCATCTACTTAGTTTGTAGTAGTACGCATGTTTGTTTGATTGTTTTGATGTCGGCCGTTTCACTATAAACATTACACATAGTCCGAAATGTCGTACACCCATCATATTTCCTACTTTGTAAGCATCATTTTTAGATATCCTGTACTGTACCCTGTTATGCCCCACCCACAAAACCCTATTACTACTGGTCCCGTAATATACAATTCCAGGCCTCTGGGTGCTGTGGCAATGCCCCTATAAATTCAAATAAAATTTATAGGAAAGGAACGGAAAAAGCCTCTATGCTACAAGTCACGTCTTCAAATTTTATTTTGCCAGAAAGTCTATTTTATGCTTTAGAGCGTTTACAGAGTGTCAAGTGATTTTGAGTGTGAAATTCATTTCAGATGTTCTATTAACATTTCATCAGATCAATCACTGTCTGTTGAGATCGACCACGTTAGTATCATTTGTACCGCTGGAGATAACTTGTGTCATTGTCAGTTTGCTTATGCAAATGTTTTTGATGGGACCCACGCAGGGTTTATACAAAAATCGTATGTATGTGTTCAGGCCTTTGCCAATAAGTAAACAATTGATTTTTAGCTTCTTTAAAAAAAGAGTTTGCTCTGTTTAAACGGACCACTTACGGATAACATAAACTTGTTCACCTTCACAGGTGATTAGATTCATCAGATGGGGATAGCAGCGGTGACAGAAGTTTGAGCGCCATTAAGTCAACATTAAGAAGAAGCCATTGCTGTCTGATACTCAATTTGCATAAGGATAGCTTTGTCACGTCATTTGGTAACCTTAAACAGTGTCTCTCATAATGTCTCCTGATAGATCAAAACCCGTCCATGTTGGTATTAGGGAGTAATGGTCTACTTTGCTATGAAGCAGGACCCCCAATTTCCACGAGATATAAAGGAGACACTAACATCTTTAATGAAAGATCGAAATAAAACAGGCACTAAAAGGAAATCTGATGGTCTGGAAAGTCTTCCTTCTTCGATACACGATTAAAAATGAAGCGATATGCAAATAAAGCAGTACGAGCAGGTTCGATTGTTCGGTGGATCCACCGAGTTTTCGGATATGCACACGAACCCCGTAGTTTGAAAATGCATCTTATTAGCCTGCACTTTAAGCAAAGGCTTCGACATTAGCCATTGTTGGGTTCGTTTTAAGTCGACAAGAAGGTTTATTCGAGGTGCTTCAGCGGAATCACGGTATAATATGCACATTCACATGCGAGGAGATAGCACTATGTAAATGTACACTTCGATTGACAGTAGTTACTCTTTGTGAAAGGGGTTAACGACTGTGGTCGCTCATCACAATAAATTTATTATCAACTGCGAGCCGACAGACGAGGAGCTTATGCGATGGAATCTGATAGAACCTAAATCAAGCAGTTTCCGGAGTGTATTGTTTCCTCAGTGATAAAATGTGATATAGATCAGGAATTAACAGGAATAACTTAAGCCAGAGTGGTCAGCGGCCTCTATAAATATGCAAAGCTAGATAGTAAAAACAAAATACGCTGGAGTCCAGAATACAAAATTACTGAATCATCGAGCGTGAACTGTGTCGAAACAACTATAGGCTAGTAATCGCTTAAAGTAGGTGGACGAACTAACGTGACAGATGTGAGTCAGGATGTAATTTAATATTTAAAAAAGATAAATTCCTCTCCGAAAACTCACAGAGGTGAATGCCTTTAAATATATAAGTAAAACACTGTGCCTCCCTTGCAAAAACCGACCGCGGTCCGCAAGGCGCTCATTAGTACCTGTACTACAGCCCAAAGTGCTGGACACGAAACGGTTTCGTGACTTTTTTTCACAGTATTTTAGAATGAATTCTGTTTACCTAAATTCCAGAGTGATTTCTCGGCTGCTGTTCGCTGGGATAACAACTTCTACGCGCCGTGGACTGGAAGCTCTCTTGGTAGATACTTTCGACTGGGAAGTATTGCCCGTTTTACCATGAGCAGTCATCTTGGAGGAAGTACTGCCTTCTGCGATGGCAAACTGGTCCAAAGATGCTCCCAGAATGCAGCATTTGTAGACCAGGGGGCGAGAGAATGGATTCGAAAGAGTCAGATGCTGGCTCGCCGTAGCATGAAGTGGGGCTGCAAAGGAGTAAATACGTCAGTGCAATTAGTAACACCAGCGCCGTATTTAATTTACATAACTACCTACTCATTTCGTATTAGTACGTATGTTTGGGTTAGGACTTTTAAGAGCGCTGGTTCATACCAAAGGGTTAGTCCAATGTCGGCAATTATAATTCCTGTTGCTTATCGGATCCCCATCAACGATTGCTACCACGCAGTCGTTGCATTGTCGAAAAAGGCTTTAGTGAAAAGAAATAGTGTTCAGTGAGTTTGTGTGCACCCGAAATTGGAACCCAAGTCGGCAAGGGTAGGATATGTAACATATTTCCGAGCTCACTTAATGTTTACCGAGTATAGAACGGTATACAGGATCCTTAGAAATATAAAAGGGAAGGCGATTTCGGTAAAAAAGGAAACAGGATACAGTAGTCGCCGGCTATTAAGCCCACCTCGGGCCCAGACCAAATTGG